CTCTCTCTCTCTCTCTCTCTCTCTCTCTCTCTCTCTCTCTCTCTCTCTCTCTCTCTCTCTCTTGCTCGCTGGCTCTCTTCCGTGCGCGTGTGCATGTGTTTGTGGCATTGTGCTTGCATGTGCTTTTTTTTTTTTCTTTTTTTTTTTAAGTCTCGATGGACCACTGATCTAATATGAAACTGACCAGAGCAGATACTGCACTTAGTGGGCTCTCTCTCTCTCTCTCTCTCTCTCTCTCTCTCTCTCTCTCTCTCTTCCGTGCGCGTTGTCGGAGGGCACAGTGTCCCGGCTCTCCTGTGTACCAAGTCCCTGCATAGTACCAGTTTCCTGCTCTGGTACCTGGACCGTTTCTCGGCGTGGACAGGTCCCGGTGGCGTAGCCCGCAGCAAAAGGGGTGCGCTATAGGACTTCCATTGGTCGACGCAGGCTCGGCGCCCTGCTGTACAGCAGAGCACAACCGGCCTGTGGCCGTGGTAGCCGCCGGGTTCGCCCTGGGACGCGGAAGTGGGAAGACTGGCCCAGTCTTTTCAACTGCGCGCCGAGCATCCTTGTACAGAGTTATGGGTCAGGTACATGAGAACAGGTTGCTGTTGGAAGGAAAAACTTGAACAAGAGGGGTAGGAGTAGAATAAGAAAATAAAACAAAAGAAAGGAAGGCGGAATGCCTGGTCAGCACGAGGATCAAGCCTGTTGTTCTAATCCGGAATAATCCAGCGACGGTTGGTTGCTGAATCGACTGGGTTTTCTCCTTCTCTTTTATTATTATTATTGTTATTTATAAATATTATTGCTGATTTACCAGTTTTTCAGGCGGGGATTTCCCTTTTCTTTGGGTCCCGTCACGTTGTAGGGAGATCAACGACTCTGGTTTCGAGTTCAGACGGTGGTATTGCGGCCTAGGTAGGCCTAGCCTTTTGAATATCCCCTGTGCCAGGTCTGCGCGTCTAAGCTCCGCATAGTAGGATCTGTGGCCGTATTAGAGGCCAGATACAGCGGGGCCTCCTTGGACTTTTTACTACTATTCAGATGGAGCTGCGGCGCGGAGGAAATTTGAATCGCCACCTTTTTCCTTTTGTAGTTGTTATTATTATTATTATTATTATAATTATGATTACCTTTATTAACAGACCGATTCAGTCGCGGTTTTTTCCTTTGGCTCTGGTTACTTCGCGGGAATCTCAACGGTTAGAGTTTTGAGTGTGGCTACAGTTTGCGGCCCTGACTGATAGAGCCTGTCATTTCTGTGCCGACGGACGGGAGACCCGAAAGGGCGCTTCGAGGTAGAACCCCAAAAGAGGGGCGACCCGCGGCCGCATTGGTAGGAGGCTTATCACCCCCCTCATGGAGGGTCATAAGCCCCCTCCTTGCCATCGGACACGGGTACCCGTCAGGTATAGGCCAATGCGCGCGTTTTGATGGAAGAAAAGTGCTTGTCAATATCCCGTTACGGGACCATCACCTCAGAATAGCAACCACCCTTTTGTGAGACGAGGCGACTGGGACCGATAGCAGAAGGCCTGTGGATATCGCGGCCAAAAGTTCATTTCTTTTCTTTCCTTTCTTTGGTTTTCTTTTATGAAAAATCACAGTTATTCTGTTTACTTCCGAATTTTTACTGAGCCTTGAAGCTTTTCGTTTAGAGCACACCGGGATTGCACTCGCCTGTAGCTCTATAAAAACAGAGGCTGCTCCTGGGTCTTGTGGAAAATACGTGAGGGGAGTGTTATCACCCCTCGAGTGTGATTTGTGGTGTTGCGCGGGAGCCTTGATTCCAGGCACCCTGGATTCAGCCTGGCTAAGTGCTTCTGTGACCAGGGGTAGTGCGGACTGGGCACTGGCGCTAGCTATTGAGAAAGAGTGGCTATGGCGCTGCATGTGTACAGGCCCGGGTACTGGTATCACCAGGCCCGTTGGAAGCCCGTGTCCGGGGAAGGGCCCTGGATTACCGTCATACTCAATTACGACGGTGGAGATGAACTGATACTGAAGATCAACGTGGAGGGAGCAAGAGAAGGGGAGATGCGGACTAACCCGAAGCTGCAGGACGCGATTTCGGAGGCGAGAGACCGAGCGGAGAGACGCTGTAGACGGGACGGAGTGACGACAAGGCTATGGATAACGGTGGCTTACCATGAAACTGAGACCTCAATGGACACAGCGGACCTGGAACAGGTCCACCAGGACAGAGACTCAGGAGGGGAAAGTGAGACAAAGCCGGTGGAAGAGGGACCCAAGGCCAGCTCTCGACAGCTGACGCCCAGAGGCCGCGGGACGGGTGAGAAGCAAAACAGGGGGCAAGATCATGGGGCGAGGAGGCCAGCTGGCGGAGACAGAGTGATTGGCACGAAAACAAGGACGACGAGGCGGTTACACGAGAGAGCCGACACGCAGCATAGGTAGTACTGCCCAGTGGAAGTCAAACGCATGCAGGCGAGCCGCAGGGAGGAACACATGAGCCGTGAGGTGCCGTTGACATCAACCAATTGCCTTAGCATTTGCCCCTGACATTTCAGGTTTGCGAAGCGCGGTTGAGCATGATTTGGGAGTTAACTTGAGGCGGCGAGGAGACCTACGGGACGAGACTGAGAACCTGCGAATTAACCCGCGGAAGTGGGCTTGCACACAAGGTGTGAGTGGACGTGAGAGGGAAGAACTGTCTCACGGTTGACGTCGTCGCTGGAGAGAGGACGAGCGGTCATGAGAAAGAAAGAGAGAGAGGGTTAATGTACTGGGAGATACAAGGGATTGAGCCGCGAGGCGGTTCATATACTGGCTACCCACGGCGTAGCTCGACGTGCGTGAGGCAATCAGCTAGAAGGGTAGATTGGGTGAGCAAAATGGAGTGCGAGCTAGCAAGGTGAGACAGACGTTATAAGCTGCCCGACACTCGAGTGGTGTTTCTTGCGCCTACTGCAGTGACGAAAGGACAAGAGAGAAACATCCTACCAGATAGGGAGGACAGCAACCATCAAGAGAGGGTAATCAGCGATGCACAAAGGGAGTCGCCATTTCGATCTTAGCTCGATCAAGATCTAGCTGAAGAGAGAGTCTCTTTTCTTTGAAGGCGATCCCACTTACCAGCCGGTGCGCCGCTATGATAGCTACCTGTCTCGCTAACTTCGAGTGACTTTCAAATGTGTAACGGGTACTGCTATCAAAAGTCATTGACGCGCCTCTCTGTAGCTGTCTTGGTCAAACCTTCAGATAAGATGGTGGCCGTTGCAAGATAATTTCTTTTGCTATGTTAATTTCTGTTTTTTTTTGTTTTTCTGTTTAGTCAATTAGAAAGATTGATCATTGTTAAACCGACCGTGTTACGCCTTGGCATGGGTTAAGCCCGCAGTAGACAGTGTGAGTGGGTGAACAGTGGAAAGGATCAGACTCATGGCGACAATTTGAGACGTGCTGGCTGTGAAAAGAATCCAACGTGTAGGCTATTAGTTTGAGAGAATTAGCAAGGATGAAGTAGGCGGATAATCTTGATGTTGGCGCTTGTCTATTGAATGTATTCCCCTACACTGAGTGGTTTGTTTGATTGCTTGTCAAGGTCAAAGAGACATGCAGCCTTTGTATTTCGTGCATTTAATCCCCTCGAGGACGGAGTTTACGAATGCAGTTGGGATTCAGACCTTTTTCTTTCTGTTCTCTTCTGCATTGCGTGACAGCACCGCGTGACTGCATCACGTGACTGCATCGCGTGACTGCATCGCGTGACAGCATCGAATGATTGCGAGACATCACCGCGTGACTGCATCGTGCGATTGCACCGCGAGTCTGCGCTGTGTGCCTGCACTGTGTGACTGCACCGGGTGACTGCACGAGTCCCTGAGAGTGTAGGCTTGCATGTGCTCACCTGATTGAATGATTATCCATAGTGGCATGAGTTCGTTGGGTCCTGAGATAAATCAAATGCGAGACTATAAAATCTGCAAATACCTGTGCGTGCCGACAAATGTTTGATTGAATGCACTTGCTGGCCTGATGATTATAGGCAGGTATTTGATCGAGTACGCAGGCTTATTTCCGGGCTCACTGTAAAAAGGAAAAGTAGAGATGATTTCCATTGGCTGGTGTTCTGTGCCTTGACTATTGATTAGATGGGGAGAAGAAAGGCAGTACTGAGGAAAATCTTTTATGTTCTTGCTAAGTTCCTACTTGATGGTGACTAAGTGTCTATTTTGCAAAGTTGGGACAAGATTTAACTCGAAGAAAAGCGGCCTGCATTCCCCGTTACGATCAACGTGTTCCTAATTATGTTGTGAAAGTGCGTTACTTACGTTCCCCCCCCATCTTCCTATTCTTGAGAGACTTGCCTTCAATTGATTCTTAAGTAGTCAGCAGTAGCACGAACACTAGGGCAATTTTCTCGGAGATTTTGCTCCCACCCGTTCCACGGAGCTGGAGTCCGGACTGGTCAGGTACCAGGAATCAGAAGTTTCAGGCAGAAAGCCCCAGCCGCGATTTCGATCATTCAGGGGATTGAATATGGTTGTCAGATTCTGAGGCCACTCGAGTGATGATTAACGGTACACTGAGTTTGAAAGATCTTCCCTGATTTGAGGGTCATTCCAAGTTGGTGGAAACTATCTTGCTCAAATGACTCCGCCTATAATCAGAGTTGAGTTTCAGTAAAACCCGGCCAGAATCTCACGACTGGGTATTTGTAAACTATTACGAACTAGTATCCGGGCAAAATCTGTAAGCAACACCTGGTAATGAGGGCGACATCAAATGTCTGAGACCACCGACTGTACCCGAACTCGTTTTATATAGGAGGCTGTTGTGCAAAGACAACCGAAAGGACTCCAAGCCCAGAGTGGGCTATCACTTGTGTAATTGGATGAAGAATACACGGGTCTTTGTTTTCCCTTACCTGGGCTTAGGATTTTCATTCGGGGCATGAGCACAGGGAAAACTGTGCACTACACGAACTTGGACGTTCTACGACCCATTTCACCAGAGTTGCCTGCCTGACTTAGCTTGTTATTTAGACAGTTGGGTTCTGCCCACTTGAGTCCAGTTGAAATACTCGGGGTGCCGCACAAAATGGGTTGATTTCGGTGTGCTGGGTCTTTCATCAGGGCAACAAAATTGGGAAGGAGTTATCAGAAGAAACAATTGACGTAACCTGGCGCTGGCAGAGCCGGTGTACCCATGCGAACAGTGATCTGGCATACAAGGATATCAGCAGGTATATTCACAGGGGGAGTTACCCCATACACCAGGTGTCGATCAACAGTTAAGGATAAATATTCCACAACCTTCATTAATCATGTGTCTGATTTAGCTTTTGCTTTTCGTAACCGTTACCTCATCGTTTATGGACAATCATACAGGGCGATATTGAGTGCCCCCTTGCTAAATTACCCTCTTCCCTCCCCTGTAGTCGCTAAAGGGCCGCACTAACTTGGAGGGCTCTGCTGAAGATAGCCCTTACACTCTGGACATGGAAGTCTTATTTTTATCTGTGAGTTGATCAGGCCGTGGCTCAAATCTCAGAGTGCAACAAAAAGGGATCATGAAAGAAGGGGAGGCTCTGATTGTAAAGTGCAGGTCGAACAGGGATAAGGGAGAAGGATGGGAGAAAGAGGCGTACCGGACTATGGAGTCTTTTAGGGAAACTCAACGTGAACATGCAGTTCAGATGGTGAAAGGAGAAAGATACATCGAATATGTAATTTATTTCTACAGTCACGATGGTAGATTGCATAGTACCATCTCCTCGCTAGAGAGCGTGGAACAGGCATTGGTGAAGCTTGCATGAACTCAGCAACATCTGATTAGTACTTAATCAGTCATTATATGGTATTTGAATAACAGCAGACATTTATTTGCAAGCAACAATTAATTTATTCAGAAACAGCAACTTGAGAACAGTTTTTAGAAACAACATCCAGGAACAGTATCTGGAACAGTATTCGAAAGGGGTTCAGACAGTACTCAGAACCATACCCAGAAACAGCACTCAAGGCAGAACTCCGAACAGTACTCAGATCAGTATTGGGCTGTACTCCGAACAGTGCTCAGAGCAGTATTCAATGCCCAAGATAGTACTCCGAACAGTGCTCAGAGCAGTATTCAGTGCCCAAGATAGTACTCTGTACAGTACTCAGAGCAACATTCAGTGCCCAAAGCAGTATTCAGAGCAGTCCTCTGGACAGTGTTCAAAACAATGTTCAGCTGCCACTCAGTCATTACTTGATCATTATATTAATCACTACTCGGCCATCTATTTAATCGACATCCAGCAACCAGTCAGTAGTTAGAAACAGCACTTCGGAGCGGCAATCTCAGTAGCAGCAGGTAACCAAACAGCGGACAAACAACAACCGAGAACATCATCCGGGGAACGGCAACTGGAGAACAGTAACCGGGAACAGCGACAAGAAACAGCAGTCAGGGACGGCAATTGGAAGCAGTGACCAGACCAGGAATTTCCAGCAAACATCCAGACGAACAATTAGATCAATGTAATCAGGCTAGAGACTAGCCCACTTATCCAGACATTTAACAATCAATTCAGTGATCAGTTCAGAAAACAGATCAGCGATCAAGTCATTGATAATCACCAGGCAGCCAACACAACTTTCATGAGTACGGTCCAATCATTCCTGGTCAGCGAGTCAGTGCTGACCAATCTCAATCAGTTTTCGCATAAGGAGGCCATTCGTTACCAGTATGTCAATGCCATCGGCTTCAGACAGGGAGACCTGTCAATCTTCGTTGTCCAGACCAGCTTTGCTGATGGTACTATCCATGACCTGAGGCCATACCTGAAGAAGGGCAAGGAAGCTCACGAGCATTTCGATCCAGTCTGGATCTCAGCCACCAAATACCTCGAGCAAAGAGAGAGGGAGCTCGATGAGAGTGGCACTACGCTGATCCGCAGCTTTGGACCGAAGCTTTATGCTGACTATCCCAAGCCTCCTGTTCCTTCCCTCCTCACAGATGGCACAAGTTGGCTTGATATGATCGGCTTGGCAAAGAGGTATATCTCTCCAGCGGTGATCGACATTGAGGCACTGACTGAGCCCACCGAGTATCCCTACCTCAGACAAGGAGTCTTTTCAGTGGACGGACTACCTACATTGTGGGAGGAGTTTTGCTCCATGGTTAACTTCGTGTCATGTACCTCGGATGGTCATGCTCAGAGCTTGCTGGCTTCAGGTGGCTCTTTGTCACGAGGCCTCAATCTCAGACTGTACATGGGCATGGGTCACAGCACCAGAGATGAACAGTGAAAAGAGAGATTGAGAGAGACTGACTAGAGGGATGAGTGAGGACTCTTGAGAGGTGCTGACCATGCTTGTTTATGTGTACTTTCTGATATTATTGTGAGTTCTCATTCATCTTTCATTCATTTGATCTTGCCTTTGCTCGAGTCAGTCGGTCTTGCTTCTCGCTTGTTTTTGCCTGATAATTGCTATCGTGGATGATTCTGTCACAATTCTCAAAATCAGATTGACATAAATGATGCATGCATAGCACCCCATAATTTCATGATTATTATTTGCATAATTCTCTGTTGTTCCGAATCAAAATAAAAGATTCCTAAGACCGGGGACCAGCGAAGACCGCAATTGAAGGGTCTCCCTCGAAGCCGGACGCACACAACAGGAAGGGATTTGCTTTAATTAATTTATTTTATTTATTGCAATCACAATCAAAATCCTGCGTGACAGCCTGTTGGCTTTCTGGTCGCCCGGAGTGGCCCAACTGGAAAAAAGTGCGACAGCGCGTGCATGTGCTTGCATTTTTTTTATTATCAAGTCTCGATGGACCACAGATCTGATATGAAACTGATCAGAGCAGATACTGCACTTAATGGTCTCTCTCTCTTCTTTCTCTCTCTCTCTCTCTCTCTCTCTCTCTCTCTCTCTCTCTCTCTCTCTCTCTCGTCTCGTTCGATCTTGTGGCCGTTCGATGTTGGGGTTACACAATCTCTCTCTCCCTCCCTCCCTCCGTCCCTCCCTCCCTCCCTCCCTCTCTCTCTCTCTCTCTCTCTCTTCCGTGCGCGCGTGCATGTGTCTGTGCTTGCATGCGCTTTTTTTTTTTTTTTGAAGTCTCGATGGACCACAGATCTAATATGAAACTGATCAGAGCAAATACTGCACTTACTGGGCTCTCTCTCTCTCTCTCTCTCTCTCTCTCTCTCTCTCTCTCTCTCGTCCCGTTCGATGTTTTTTTGCCCTTCGATGTTGGGGTTACGGGTCTCTCTCTCTCTCTCTCTCTCTCTCTCTCTCTCTCTCTCTCTCTCTCTCTCTCGCTCGCTCGTTGCGTTCGATCTTGCTGCCGTTCGATGTTGGGGTTACACGTGTCTCTCTCTCTCTCTCTCTCTCTCTCTCTCTCTATCTCTTTCTACCTTCTTTCTTTTTGTTTGAATGGATGAACCGTTGAACGAAACTTGATCCTCGTTCCTTTTATTTTTCCGTCCATATTTGTTATGTAGAGTTTGTCTGCCCTTTTGTTCATTTTTTGTTTGCATCTTTTTACGTTTGGGATTGATTGATTGATTCTTCGGTTAATTGTCAGCAAGCCACTCTTGTTTTTGGCAACCATTTGACCCCAAATGGGGTGCTGTTATGTTGTCGATATTTCGAAACTGTTCGATTATTGACCACTTAGTCCATCAATCACTCTATCCCTCGCTCGCTCAATGAATCAGTCAATCAATCAATCAAGTTCAATGAACGAATCAATCGATCAATCAATCAATCAGTCGATCATACCATCCACCAACCAATCAAACCATCAATCAATCAGTCAACCCATCGACTGATCAATCAATCAACGCAATCCATCTATCAATGAAGGCTTCTCTTCATTGACTGATTGAATGATTGATTGATTAATTCAGTTTGATTGATTGACTGTTTCATGGACTGATTGATTGATTGACCAATTGATTGATTGGTTGATTGATT